TCTTTTATGTAGATATGCTTTAATAAAATTGTACATTTTCCCATTAATTTTATAGTTTCTCAATTACTTCAAAAGCCCCTCCTTCCAAACATTTTCAAAAGCTTTCCTTAAATCTATCCATGCCGCGAGTACCAGTTTTTTATCTTGAAAAGCATCCTCTATTTCTTGGGAGAGGTATGTTGTCTGGTCTTCCTTAGAGTAGAACTGTCTAAAGCCCGCCTGCTGTGGTGTAATGATGTTTTCACTTTCAATGTACCACTGTAGTCTGAGGTTGGGGATGCGCTCTATTGTTTTACAGAGACAGCTTGTGAGGCTGATCGGTCTGTAGTTGGAAGCATTAGAACTGTCTTTCCCAGGCTTTATGAGGGGTATCATAATTGCCTCTCCCCAGATCTGTGGAACATTCCCTGTTGCCCAGCAAGCATTAAATATCTGTAAAAACTTTGTTTTGGCTACTGTTCCTAAGTTTCTGATCATTTCGTTTAATATACAATCTGCTCCTGGTGACTTCCGCATTTTCAGCTTTGAAATGGCCAACTCCAGTTCATTAAGTGTAATTGGCACCTCTAGCGATTCTGGTGTTATTTCTTTCTGACTTCTAAATTGTGTCTTTTCTTGAATTTCGTGTTTTTTCTCTGAACTGATTTCAATGTCGTTATCTAAAGCAAAAGTGTCCGCAAATAGGTTGGCTGCCTCTTTTCCTGTGACCATGTTTTCATCTTTCTGCAGCGTGATCTTTGAGTTGCACCCTGTGTCCTCATCATTAATTTGTTTTTCAAGCTTCCATAACTTTCTTGTGTCTTTTTCAAAGTTCAGCAACCTTGTTTTCTCCTGCCAGCTTTCCCTTCCAACCTGCAGCTTTGCCCTTACAAATTTTGCTTTTGCATGCTGGTAGTTATTGTGATGTTCTTGGTTTGGCCTGGTCTCTGCTATCTTTCTGGATGTTTCTACTTCGTTATGTAAATTTTCTAGCTCATTACTCCAGTATCGCTTATAATGCTTACGGGCGCCTCTTGGTATTGATTCTCCTGCTGCCTTTAGTACGCATTTGTTAAATTCTTTAACTACTTTGTTTATATCGAGGTCTACGCTGAGACTTCCAAGCAGTATACTGCTACGGTGCTTGAACATTGTCCAGTCAGCCTTCTTGTAGTTCCACCTTGGCAGCGTACTAGTTTATCTGACCGTCTCACTTTCTACATTCAGGAAGACCGGTCGATGCCACTGCCTCCCAGATTATTTCCAACAACTCGTTTAATCTTCCATTCCAGATCTGGAGAGTGAAATGCTAGGTCTGGGGTAGTAGTGGTGGGCCACGACCTCGAGTAGAATGTGGGTGGATCAGTTGGCCTATTAATCAGAACAAGTCTGTTCTCATCCTGCCATTCCTCCAGTTTCTCTCCTCTCTGGTCTATATGGTCGTACCCCCAGCTTTGTGAGTGGCTGTTAAAGTCTCCACATAGAATCATCTTTTCTTCCACTGGTATTGTGTCTATTGCCTGGGGACAATCACTTGGGCAGTAATAATTGATCAGGTAGAAGTCTGCATTTCCAGTTTATAGTTTCAGAATATGATATTCTGCTCCATTCATATATACTTCAGTCTGGCACGCAGTGATATTGTTCCTCACAAGAGTCAGTATTCCACCCTTTTTCCTGCCTTTTTTGTCTGATCGGAAGCACTGATAACCTCTGATTTTGAAGACTGTGTCTTTAGCGAGGTGGGTTTCTTCGGACATTTTTCAAAAATGACCTTGACTCCTAGGTCGACCCAGCCTTGAGTTGGTACCGGGTACAGTCCCGGGAAGTAAAGGCGGCCACCATGATGCTAACCACATCACCCATCTTGTGCCGATTAGTCTATATGCCCTATACGCCTAAAGTCTCTGCCGTCAGATATACAGAACATTTACAGTAGTAGATTCATAACTTTGCTGAAGTCAACATGCGCCTCAGAATACTGAACTGGTCTGGGCTGTTAGCATTTCGGGGAACTCTAAACTGCATGGATCAATGAAGGGACAAGTGTCGCGGCAAAACCTTCAAGAGGCATTTTCATATGGAAATAATGAAAAGAAGGATGCAAATAATAAGAAAAATGTTGCTATTTGTGCATCAGACTTGCGATGCTATATCCATATTTTAAGCCTTATTTTAGGAACACTAAAGAACATTGAGCTCCCGCCCCTCTCCTATTTCCATGGAAATAAACGCATGGTTTTCACAAATAAAATTTAAGTTTTCTGGATGTCAACATTATGTTAATATCTATGTCTTTGAAGTTAGTACATTGCTCACCAATCCCTTTACGCCTTTACACTTCCATGTCCACGAAATTATTCTTCAATTTATGTCTCTATTTACTTTTTTCTCCGTTATATTTTTTCACATGCCAATCCTTTATTGAAAATTTCTGTTCAGCCTATGTTGCGTGCCCCCCTTCTCCAATTATAAACTTTCACTATCTAGTCATGTATATTTGGCTGTGCCTTGGTATGCGTTCGCTTTGGAGTACGAACAGCTTGGTATACATCCTTAATAGCAATTATTTTTTTTTTCCAAGATCTCTGCCGCATAAACGTTCCAACAGTAATCACTAAGAAATTCTCGTGTCTAAAAAGCTTCACGAAATTAGAAAGCAGGACAACGTGCACAAAACATACAAATCGACATTTCGACTGGAGCCTTTCTCGACACGAACCAACTACAGAACAATAAAATCTTGTTCTGCTTCCTCATTCGTTCAGATTTTTAGTCACAGTTTACTTGATTAAGCGTTTTGGGAAATGCCATTTTGGTCTCAAGACTCAGTGCAAGAAAAACCTCAACTGCATTTCCACACTATTTCTATAGCTGAAATGCTATAGAAAGATTCTCAGAATATCTTGGACAAGCAGGATGAGAAATACTGCCATCTTGAAAGATCTGAACATCAAGGAAGATTGGCTCAAAAACAGCATGCTGTCTCGGAAGCTGAAATAGTTTGTTCATATCAAACGCCACGACGGATTGTAAAAATAAATAACAGCTGAAGGCATGGTACCAGGAAAAAGGGGCAAGAGCCGACCGACACGAAGATGGGCACATAATATAAGTGACTCCTTGAGTGTGAAAGTACATGAGGTGGGAGAGCTGGCGAGAGACCGAGTTTCTTTCAGGCAAACCGTGATGAGAGCGATGTTTCGCAATGGACCTGCTACATGATGATGATGATCATGATCATTATATTAATCTCTTGCTATTAGCTTGTCTGCAATCACACTTGTTTTTACAAAGTAATCACTTTAGACCGTTCAGTAAGCAATGACAAAATACTGAACGTAAATTTGCCTAACCACAACAGCCAATAAATGCTGGGGTTGGTTCTGCAAAGTCCTGTAAAGGATACGCAACTAACTTAAATCACTGTAGCTCCCTGTGTCAACGTGATAACTTTAGTAGAAACGCACGGTTTTATCTTCCTTTTGCTTTGTTTTCTTTTGCCTAAGAAGTTTAGTTCTCAGTAAAACTTTTACTTATTTTGTTTCTTAGATAGCTGCTACATTAACCTACTCACTTGCAGTTATTGCCATAATATCACATCACCATGATGTGACAGCAACATTAAACTAATAATATAGTCTGTTTGACTGGCAAATCATTTATTTACTCAGATACTGTTATTGGTAAACTTCTGCCATCCGTATTGTTGAGTTGTCACGATGTATTATGTCTTAACTATCTCTTATATTTAGTTATCCATACAGTTATAACATTCTTTCCATTTAAACAGAGGTGATTTCTCAACGCAAAATGATGGCTGCCAAAGAGTTTATGGTGTGCTTTCAACATTATTTTGGCAATTTAAGAAGATAAATCAGCACTTATTGCAGAACAAATACCAACTGATGGAAGATGTAATAAAGTAATTAAAAACAGAAAGGTGTCAGACATCAGAACCAACATCTACAGAATATGGACAGAAATCGTTCCCATTCGTTACGTTTGAAATCGCCCCATTTGTATTAGACATGTATTTATTCCTGCGAGGAAAGAATTACAAAAAGAAGATGCATTGAAAACAAAATAACTCAGAAAGAAAACTGACTGCGGACATCAGAAGTAGACAAACAGTTCTTTAGATATGCAAGGAAATTGGAAAACTGTATAGTGCGGCTTGGCACCATGAAAACTAGAAAGGTGGGGGGGGGGGGGGGGGGGGGGGGGGGGGTGATCAGAAAGTTTGTTGAAGAAGAAAAAGAAGAAGAAGAAGAAGAAGAAGAAGAAGAAGAAGAAGAAGAAGAAGAAGAAGAAGAAGAAGAAGAAGAAGAAAAAGAAGAAGAAGAAGTAGAAGTGGAAGAAAAGAAAGAAAGAAAGAAAGAAAGAAAGAAAGAAAGAAAGAAAGAAAGAAAGAAAGAAAGAAAGAAAGAAAGAAAGAAAGAAAGAAAGAAAGAAAGAAAGAAAGAAAGAAAGAAAGAAAGAAAGAAAGAAAGAAAGAAAGAAAGAAAGAAAGAAAGAAAGAAAGAAAAAAAGAAATAGACAGTAAATAGCTAGTTGTAGACACAAATGAGGACCAACCATATAACGAAGGGGCAAAAGTCAATGTACATAATAAAACACGACAGTCGACACACAACACTCTGGTAAAATGAAAGACATTTTACAAACTGAGTGCGGTGGTGCCATCAGAATTGGAATTCTGCGCCGACTGCTGTGAGCATTTCAGTTGCGTGGAAAATGATATTTCACTGAATAGACTGCATCAGTTGGAGCTGCGAGACAGGAAAACCACCCGGGAGGAACCCGTCGTTTCGTCAACCAGATTAGAACTGGAGGTACTAGCATAAACGCTGTTGAAGGCACACTCAGGAGGAGATCGGAGCACTTATGGTCATGTCCGATGTGCGATGAAAATGATGTCTAAAATAAACAATCAGTTTAACTCAGAACCAAAAACTTCAAGGGCTGTCACAGTCTAACTGCTTATAGCCGGCACAATACTATCTGGCATTACCACTTACCCTGACCGGTGTTTCTTCCAATCCAACTTCAGCCGCAATGATGGCGATGTCAAGATCAGAAGGATTACGATTTTTCTGGAAGTTGGACTCTAGGCACTTAAGCTGGTCTTCATCCAACCTTGGAAGCTGGCTCGAAGGACTGAGGAGGGCTTGGATGCCGGGCAGACCGTTGCTAACTACTGTTGGACTATTAGGCTCGTTTTCCATTGCTGCACTCAGAAGGTCCAATCCCCAGTTAAAAAGAAAATGAATGGTACCCTAGCACTTACGGTAGCACTCTAGCGTATAAAACGTAATATCTCTCGCTTACTCGTAATGTTCGTGTCGTGACACTAGTAAGAACTTCAGTCCACCTATAATCTACCAGTTGAAATACAAGATAGCAGGTTTCGTTGCCGTGTTTGTAAATTCAGAACTAGAGATTCGTGCCCGCATACCGATTCATCTACATTACACACGCCTGTGTGCGTCCTACCAGGCAAAACGATGTTAGGAATTAACATTCCATGACGTCATGTGTGGCACAAGTATCGACTCTATGGTAATGGCATTTACCAGCACAAACGCTGGGCTAAACCGTGTACTAAGTCCCTGTTATTTTACCGCGATTATAGTACAGCCAGCTAATAAATGCCGGGGGTTGGTTTTGCCAGCTCCTGAAAAAGATATGCAACTAACTTGTATAGTATAGTGCTTTCTTTTTTTTCCCGCCACACGTCATCAGCACACATAATGGTAAAATGGCGCTAGCAAATGTGACTGTTATGCAAATACCCTAAACAGAACCGGGCATATTTCCCCGATTCATTGGCTGCTGTTTTGTATCTTTCTTTTTTTTTCTTTCACGCTATCAGCGTGTGTGGCTTAGGCGTTATGAACGCGCTTCGTTATGTTATTGTGTTGGGTTCGATCACAGCTGCAGGCGATTTGACAGCAGAACGTCTTGCTTTAGTTTCGATAGTGGTTCTGAGGACTGACTGTTGAGAAAGAACTGGCAAACTACTGGACGTAAACTTTGCTTTGAAAGACCACAACATCATTAAAAAAAATATGGGATTGGTACTGCAACGTTCTGTAAATGGGGACTGCGTGGTCTCGAGGCATGGTGTCTGCCTTGAGTGCTAGCGGCTCTGAGTTCAATACCCCGGTCAAGGCTGGGATTTTTTTCACGTGGATTTGGACTTTTAGTAATTCCCCCACCCTCCCCTCCCCTCTCTCTCTCTCTCTCTCTCTCTCTCTCTCTCTCTCTCTCTCGGTCTCTAGTTTATGTGATCAGACGCCCGTGTGCACTGTTGCGCACGTAAAAATATCACTTTTAGTTGGAAATCGAAAAGAGTAGCCTGACGGCGCTGCCCGGGCAAAATTTTGAGTTAAAAATCTACCCAAAGAATTTGAGGATCCTCGAGCACTGTGCTGAGCTTTTCCGGACTCAGACTTGAGTTAGAAGGAGTCCAAGTCCAAATACTTTTAGGGGGAAAAAAAATTAAAAGGTCGACCACTTTCAGACTGCTGCTAGCTAGCCGAGGCTGCTAACAGTCTCCGCCTATATTTGTGGTCTGGGTTATTTTCGTCACTTTCGTGACTAAATTCTAGTATTGCGCCATTTCTGGGCTCGATGCTTCCTTCCGAGTCAGACCGCTCGTCTCCAGCCCTGTTGTTAGCTGTGTGTTTCTTTCCTTTTCTTATCTGGTGTTTCCTCTTGGTGTCATCCCTTTGGGATTTGGCCAGGCGTATCTCGTAGGAGAGCGAGCTTTTCCACATAACGTCCTTTGGACCACCATTTACAGTTTTAAAATTTTGAGTATTTTACTTTGCCAAAAAGTACTGAAAACAGTTTCTGATGTTGGATAGTTCCGAAATGTGAAAATAGTTAGAAGAAGAAGAACAGAGGGCTTATGACTGTCGCGTGCGGATATGCACTAAAACACACCAATACTGACTGAGCAAATAGGACGTCAAAACAATACGTAATGTTGTTAGGGAATTGGAATCTAGAAATCCGGAAAAACAAGTTTGAAGGAGACAGACGTGTAGTCGTATCTCAGTGGATCCTTGATGATGTTCTACTCCGGGATTCCACGTAGAAACCTCAGCCGAGAGCTGGTACATTAATTATTGCACACGGAAGGAAGCAGTAATATTTAAAACTAATGAATCTCTCAGCTGAATCACTAAGGAGGGACATTGCCCTGATATCTAGCATCAGACTGCAGAAGAGGAGATCGTAGTGAACGTCTAGACTCTCCAGGTCGTACTGTTGATCCGTAAGGAGTTGCTTGAAGATGTCATCTGAATTTCTCTAGTGTATATGTGACAGCGAGTGTTGACGTGTTTGGGTGAGTCTTCACCATTTATTAGGTTATTTGCACATTTTCTCATTTTGGATCAAAGTGTTTGTTAATACACCAATGTGAGACCCTGTACATGGCCTCCATCATTTAACTCCCGTTTGGACGCAAATAAGTTGACAGTTAATGTTATAGGCTTTCTGTTTCACCGTTGGAATTAATCTCTCACTGTTCTACTACACTTGGCTGCTGGCATTGTAGTATCACTATACTGCACTCGTTTTGGTACCTGATCGCACGTGAAAAAGGGACCCTCGCCTCTCAGCATCTGGGGCACACATTTCAATAGGTTACAACCCGTGTGCCATGATGTTGATCCGTTGTTAAAAAACCTCACACCTGTAAATGATGTTGATCCGTTGTTAAAAAACCTCAGACCTGTAAATGATGTTGATCCGTTGTTAAAAAACCTCACACCTGTAAATGATGTTGATCCGTTGTTCAAAAACCTCAGACTTGTAAATGATGTTGATCCGTTGTTCAAAAACCTCAGACCTGTAAATGCTGTTGATCCGTTGTCCAAAAACCTTAGACCTGTAAATAATGTTGATCCGTTGTTCAAAAACCTCAGACCTGTAAATGATGTTGATCCGGTGTTCAAAAACCTCAGACCTGTAAATGATGTTGATCCGTTGTTCAAAAACCTCAGACCTGTAAATGATGTTGATCCGTTGTTAAAAAATCCCAGACCTGTAAATGATGCTGATCCGTTGTTCAAAAACCTCAGACCTGTAAATGATGTTGATCCGTTGTTCAAAAACCTCAAACCTGTAAATGATGTTGATCCGTTGTTCAAAAACCTCAGACCTGTAAATGATGTTGATCCGTTGTTCAGAAACCCCAGACCTGTAAATGATGTTAATCCGTTGTTCAAAAACCTGAGACCTGTAAATGATGTTGATCAGTTGTTCAAAAACCTCAGACCTGTAAATGATGTTGATCAGTTGTTCAAAAACCTCAGACCTGTAAATGATGTTGATCCGTTGTTCAAAAACCTCAGACCTGTAAATGATGTTGATCCGCTGTTCAAAAACCACAAACCTCTAAATAATACACAGCTAACTTACTGGCATATAATAATGCGCGAGCAGCAGTGGTACAATGACTATTATTATATTTCGGCACGCGATAATAGGTTCGAATCTGCACTAATCGTATTCTAAAGAAATAACCTTAGTTTTCAGTTAACCCAGCTTAAAATGAGTGCCGGGAAACGTCATCAGAAATAAAGGCGGCTGGTGTGAAGGTTGAATAAATCACTTATCGAGTGTGGATTTCTCAGTGAAAATGTGTTGCTCCAGATGACCAATGCTTCACTGTGGTTAAGAAAGTCCATATATAAACAAAATGCATGGGTATAATACTAATCATCGGCGACCGGGTCGCTCATTGGCTTGCCAGTAGACGACATCGTAGACCGTCAGGACTGTACTTCGGTCTGTCTCCTTTGATCGCATGAACACAGCAGGAGTCCTTTTCAGAGCTCTTGATGGCGTGCAACGGTTAGCTATTTGATATGGCGCACATAACCTTGTCACAATTATAATCAAAAGCTCCCCTTTCGGTGATGCTGGTTGAACGTGACGATATTTTCTCCAGCAAAAGCACCTACCTATTGATCTTTGTGTGGTTGTGGGCATATGTTGGTGTCTGTACATGTGATTGCATATGTGTCTATGCATGTATGCATGTATAGGTGTGTATGTATGCAATGTGTGTGTGCATGTATATCCATAAATGTATGTGTGTGTGTTTTCTGTTTGTGCATTTATTTCAATGTATGTGCATGTGTTTTATGTGTGTGTATGTATGTAGATGCGTGTGTGTATGTACGCGTGTGTATGTATTACATATGTCTATATGAGTGTGCATGTATAAGAACGTAGGAGTATGTTTACGTGTGTGTGAGTGTGTACGATTGTGTACACATGTTCTTATTCATTATTCTATAATTTATATTTCTATATTATATCCATAACAAGCATTATTGATGGCAGGCACTGTTGCTCTGAAAAAACGAGTGCTTAGAAGGGCCAAATGTCAGACGGGCCTGCGTGCCCAATTTGTAACCCTTTGAAAACAAAGTTTGTTCGTTCGTTCGTTCGTTCTTTCTCTTCCTGCCAATGTGCCACCACGGTACACATCAGGATCTTGTAACCGTTACGGGTAGCCAATAGTAATTTGTTTGGAGATTGAAAGGGGTATGTAGGAATTTGACCCGTTTGTCTGCCATCCAGGATGAGGGAGGCTATGCAATCTCATGGTGTTAAATCTTTACGTAGCAGTCGGGAATGGCGAAACTTATCGGACTGGTAAACTACTGTACATATAATTGCCTTAAAAGAAACCACACAGTCGCAACGACGAAGAAAATAAGGGGTTGGGGGAAAGGGGGTCGCTTCGGCCACTTTCTAATTTGTGTTGGGGGCGGGATCCCAGGGTGGTCTAACTCTTGTTTAACTGTAAAATAATAATAATAGGTATTATTTTTTTTTGTTAATTTAATTATTTGGTAATAACAAAAAGTAATAATTATTAGTATTATTTTAAATTATTGCATGCTGAATTTAGAATGTATTTAATACCATATATGAAATTAGATGAAATAAATTAACTAATACTTAAAAAAAAGGACGTCTGCACGTGGTATAATTCTGAAACACACAAAAACACTATAGAATTGGGTGTAGGAGGGGATGGGTGGAGGGGGTGGAGTTTCCCTCCCAACCCCCATTAAAGATGGCCCTAAGAGGCCTGTGTTTGTAAAGCCCTGAAAATATTACAGCTTACGTTTATAAACAGTGGCTCTTAAAATTTATGAATTCTTCACGGCAGCATGCCATGTGTATGTGTCTTTAT